CTTCACTGATCACACATCCAAATACCTTTTATTATCTGCAGATAGCACATGTACGCCAGTTCTGTTGTGTGACATATAAGTAGATGGATTTATAAAAGTTTATCAACTGCCTGCCTCTTTGAAGATTATGATTTTCAGAATTCTCTCATGGCCTAGTGGTTAGAATTCCAGGCTTTTGCTGCCAGGGCCCAGGTTCAATACCTGGTCGGGGAACTAAGATCCCGCAGGCCATGTGGCCAAAAGAAAAAAGAATTGGCCCATCAATAAAGTGATTTTCAAAGTAAAGCTTGCAAAAAGCCTGAAATCTACTTCTCTGCTCACCTCTAAAGATTAGTCTAGCGCTCTTTGCCAGAGAAACTGGAATCTAATTGCAAAATTTAAATGTACTCCAATATCACTTCACGTTAAGTAACACACTCTGTCCACTGTTAATCCTCCTACAGCTAAGATATATGAGTCTATTAGATATTAAAAGGTATGACAGAGTTAAATAACACTTCATTTTAAAACTAACTTGGGTAAGGCTTTAAGAATACTTTTAAAATATTTGACTTCTGAACCTTGTATATGGTTTATATGGCCTTCCCTGGCAGTTCAGCTGGCAAAGAATCTGTCTGCAATGCAAGAGACCTCTGTTTAATAACTGGGTCAGAAAGACCTTCTGGAGAAGGGACAGGCTCCCCACTCCAGTATTCTTGGGCTTCCCTGGTGGCTCAGATGGTGAAGAATCTGCCTGAATGGTCATCGCAGCACTGTTTATCATAGCCAGGACATGGAAACAACCTAGATGCCCATCAGCAGATGAATGGATAAGGAAGCTGTGGTACATATACACCATGGAATATTACTCAGCCGTTAAAAAGATTCATTTGAATCAGTTCTAATGAGATGGATGAAACTGGAGCCCATTATACAGAGTGAAGTAAGCCAGAAAGATAAAGACCATTACAGTATACTAACACATATATATGGACTTTAGAAAGATAGTAATAACCCTATGTGCAAAACAGAAAAAGAGACTCAGATGTACAGAACAGACTTTTGGACTCTGGGAGAAGGCGAGGGTGGGATGTTTCGAGAGAACAGCATCGAAACATGTATATTATCTAGGGTGAAACAGATCACCAGCCCAGGTTGGATGCATGAGACAAGTGCTCGGGCCTGGTGCACTGGGAAGACCCAGAGGGATCGGGTGGAGAGGGAGGTGGGAGGGGGGATCGGGATGGGGAACACATGTAAATCCATGGCTGATTAATGTCAATGTATGACAAAAACCACTATAATATTGTAAAGTAATTAGCCTCCTAATAAAAATAAATGGAAAAAAAAAAAGAAAAAAAGAAAATAAAAAAAAGAATCTGCCTGCATTGTGGGAACTGGGTTCAATCCCTGGGTTGGCAAGATCCCCTGGAGGAGGGCATGGCAACCCACACCAGTATTCTTGCCTGGAAAATCCCCATGGACAAGTCCCCCTGGCAGGCTATAGGCCATGGGGTCACAAAGAGTCAGACATGATGGAGCGACTAAGCATGTATAATTTATACATTCAAAAATAAAATTTAAAAAGGGATCCTTCTACACTGTTGCTGAGAAGGTAAACTAGTGCAGCCACTATAGAGAACAGTATGGAGGTTCCTTAAAAAATTGAAAACAGAGCTACCAAATGATCCTGCAATCCCACTCCTGGGCATGTATCTGTGTTCAATATAGCACTATTTACAACAGCCAACACAAGGAAGCAACCTAAATGACCATCGACAGGTAAACGGATAAAGAAGATGTGGTATGCACACACACAATGGAATATTACTCAACCATAGAAATGAATGCAATAATGCCATGAACCTAGAGATTATCATACTAAGGGAAGTAAAACAGAGAAAGACAAATATCATATATCACTTATATGTGGAATCTAAAAAAAGTGAACTTATTTACAAAACAGAAACAGACTCACAAAAAGCAAACGAAACTTATGGCTACCAAATCGGGGAGGAAATTAGGGGTTTGGGATTAACAGATACACACTACTGAATATAAAATAAGCAACAAGGACCTACTGTATGATACAGGAAACTATATCCAATATCTTGTAATAACCTATAAAGGAAAAGAATTTGAAAAAGAATATATATATGTGAATCACTTTGCTGTACACCTGAAACTAACATGTTTTAAATCAACTATACTTCAATAAAGAGTTGTTTCTTTTGGGAAGAATAAAAAGAAAACCATAAAATAACAAATGGAACCAATGAACCATAACAAATTGGCAGCATAACCAGAGAAAGTACTTCAAGTGACTTCTGAACACAGTAAATATAAATACTCTGATTACACAGCCTTCATGCAATATGTTCAAATAACAAAAATAAATGCAAAGAAATCTTAAAACTTTACTCAGAAGTTTACTGCTAGTAGTGATATTGGTAAAATATTGAAATGATTTTAAGTATATATAGTAGGATAGTGCAAGTATATTCATTTTATTAGTAACTAAGATTTTCGTTTAAGACGAGAGACAAATACAGAATCAAAGAAAAAAACCTGCTATGTTAAATTTGAATTGGATATATCGCTATGAACTTGCTTAAACAAACAAGTAAAACACCATTTTTTGTTCTCCCCTCTCAAAGGGCCTAGACACAGTGACGCTCCAGCAGCAATGAATATGCCAAACAGTCAGATCCTGGTTTCCATACACCATTTCTCACTAAAAAGAGTCAAGACTTCTTGGATGAAAAGCCCATTCCTGATCTGGAACAAGGAAAGTAACAAGGTAAGCCTGGGATATTCTGCACCAGAGAGCATTACAAGACTAATGGTGAGCAGGAGCATTAAAAAGACACAGGAACCAACTTGAAAGGGTTTTACTGTCCAAATTTGGGACAGTTTGAGCATCAAAAAGAAAAATAACTGTAATGGTTATATATATTAAAAGAAGATTAAAATTCATCTGTCCATAGTATTCCCACAAAAAAGGAGAAAAAAAAATTCTGATTTGCCACCATTATGCAATGCACGCAGTGGGGGTGACTAACTCCCCAACTCTTTACCCTGAATGTTAGTAACTAAAGGGAGGACATTAACATTTTTAGGAGAAAGTTCAGTTCACTTCTAGTTAATGAAAGAAATCTTGACAGAAAATCTCCAATAAAATAACTGATTGAAGCAAGAGTCATTGATGGATGCTATCACAGACCAAAAGGTACCCAGAAACAGGTTGTTTGTTTGGGGTCAAGATATTACCCCAAGATCATATACAAATCACAAACAGGCAAACCAAGCCTTTATAGTAAATCTGGTAGTTACCACTTTGAGCAAGTGGTCACATTTAGTATCCTTAATAGTGTAGCATGATGTAACATAAAAGTACATAGGTACATAGCATCATCTATGAAATATTCTTGCCAAATACAAGTTTTCCTTAAACTAATCTAGCTTTTCTTTAGACCCAACTTCCAGTAACAGGAAAATTAGGACAGAGGATTACATTAAATGACACCATTAGGAAATGAATAAATCCTAAAAGTGGGAGCACTCTTATAAAGCAAGTGGTTTGGTTCATTGGCAGAATGAAAGGAGATGGGTACTGGTCTTCTTAAGAAAAGGATCCAAGGCATAATTAACAAATACAATGTGTGAATCTTAACTGAATACAGCTGGGGGGTGGGGTGGGGGTGGATTTCCCAAAGAGACCCCAGATATTTGCATATGGATTGCTAATTTAGAAAAGTGTTGATAATGATATTGGGGTCAGTATAACCGCAGGAGGAAATACTGGAGTGTCCCGGTGTTTGCAATTTACTTTCAAGTGATTACACACAGAAAGGGGGGAACAACATGGCAGAAATGTCAATCACAGAACCTAGGTACTGGAATAGTCATTGAAATTTTTCCTCAATTTCAAAGAGACTGATTATTTTTCATAAATAAGTGTTAAAAAAAATGATGTACCTGTACTGAAGGTACAGTAGAAAACACACCTACACTGGAAACATATCTGGGTATAAATCTCACCTTTATCAGTAGTTGTGTGGCCTAAAGCAAGTTACTTAACATTACTTAAGTTTGTCTCACCTGTAAAACTCAAGTAATAATATCTAAGTCATTAGGTTGTTCTGCAAATCAGATCAGATATGGAAAAGGTTCTCATAATTAATTAATGCAAACACTGTAAAATACAAGACTATATGAAAACATTCCCTTCATTACTGCCACATTCTATGATTAGGAAACTACATCAGGTAAAATTAAATATTCATTGGCAGTCAAAGGGAAGTACTGGGAGTAACATTATACATGAAGATTTACACAGTATTGTTTTAAATGCAGTAATTCCAACTGAAACCCTCTAGACAAAAAAAATCTACCTATCCAAACTATTAGTAGCTCTCAAATTGTGAAGTCTGCTTTTGGTATTAGCCTCTATCCGAATAAAACAGTAAGAAAATAAGTGGAAGTTAGAATGTCTTCTTGACCAAAATCTATAATTCACTTACCTGCCGAAAAACATGTAAGCTTTGGCCTTCATTTCTATAACTAAGTTCCAATAAGGCACACCATTATTAGGCTTTATTCTAAATTTTGGTTAAGCTTCAAACCACTAACAAGCATGCAGTTTCCTTCTAACGTACTCATCATTTCACTCACAGGTAACCCTTTTCTGGTTAGGCCAGCAGAAAACGCCTAGATGCAGACTGTGCCCCAGGTAGGCAAGAAAAAAGGTTTTCGTTTTTTAAATAAATGCCACCCCTTTCTTTCCAATACCAAAGAAAAAGAAGCGGGGGGGGGGGGGGGAGGCTGTGTTTCGGCTCGACCAGGTGAAACGCTAGCACCCCGCCTCCTCGGGGTCCGGGTGCTGAACACACGCGCGCGCGGTCGAGGGGCGCCCTGGGAGATCGGGGCAATTTCTCCCAGACGGCGGGACGCAGGGCCAATCTCCTCCCAGAAGGCTTAGACGCCTTTGAGGGGAACCTGCGGGGTGTCTCCCGGGGCGGATGGGGGTGACGAGACTCGGCGTTCCCTTCCGCCCAGCACCCAGATGGGGGACCGCCCGAGGGCGCGGGCGGCGAGGAGGGGCCGGCCTTGCCCTCCCTTCCCGGTTACCTGCGGGCGGCGGTGCCGGGGGCCGGAGGCCTGCTGCTCCTCCTCCTCCTCCCCGCCAGGCTGAGGCGGCGAGGTGGCGGCGGCGGCGGCGGCCCGGGGGGAGGGGGCGGAGCGCGCGGCCCGCTGCCTCTCTCCTCCCCCGGGAGGCGGAGGGGACCCTATCTCGGGCCGCCGCGCCTAGGCCCGTGGACAGCCTGCGGCAGGGGCATGGCAGCCCCCAACGGCGGCGAGCCTGCGAGGTGCGCGAGTGCGAGGCGGAGGGAGGGGAGCGCTCCGGGGGCCTGAGGGGAGGAGCGAGGGGGCCCGGCGAGCCACGCGCAGGCGGCCGTTGGGGGCGGTTGGCCGAGGGCAGGCGGCGGTTTAGGGAGCGCGGCGACGGCTCGCGTTTTCCCGGCGGGGCGGGGTGGGGAAGGGGAAGGGGGAGTGAGGGGGAGGGAGGGGGAGGTTGGGAGGGAGCCGCCGCCGCGCGCGTGCGGGCCGGCGCCGCCGCCGTTGCCGCTCGGCTCACTCCAGCCTGTTTGGGGGCACTTTGTTTGTGTCCCACAATGCTCTGCGCGGGCGGCCGGGCTGGGGAAGGGGAGGGCAAGTGGGCGGGGCGCGAGCGAGCTCAGGGGCGGGGCGCGAGCGAGAGGCGGGGGAGACGCGGGTACTGCGCAAGCGCAGAGAAGGCCGCTCCCGGTAGCCGTTACTTTAACCGTCTGCGACTCAGTCTCCTGAGGCAGCGGCGGGTTCTGACACGGCCGGTGCATCTTCACAAGAGCCGAGTTACCTTCACCCGCCACCTGCGCCCTGGCCAATTCGTCCTTCCTGTGCTCGTTCGCTTAGCCGGCTTCTCGCTCAACCTGACAAGCATTTCTGGGCAAGGTTCACAGCTATTGGTTTTTTTTTTTTTCTTTGAAGTAAAATCGAAACAGACTCTGTTTTCTCGAGTGGTTTCTGTAGCGGCGCTGAGCCGGAACACCCCAGCCGCTTTCTCTCGGTGAGAGGGTGAGCTCGTAGTCAGCCCATTTCTCACACACGGAAACTGAGGCCTGCGGAGAGGCGGCCCCAGACAGGTGAGGACGTCGAGCCCCGCCGGCTACCGCGCCCGACCGGGTTCCGGCCCCCTGCGGCCTCGGCGCCTGGGGTTGTTCTAGAAAGTCCGCCGGCCGCCTGGCGGGACATCCGGCTCTGACATGGGTGGCGAGATTCACCTTGTTCCCCCAACACGAGGGCACCTAGAGCCGCCCCCCATGTAGGCCTGTTGCTTCCACACCTGGAGCCTCCTTGGGTTCCACCTCCACTAACCTGACTTTCCGACGAGGGCGTGTTCGGGACGCCCCGAAGTGATCAGTTCTGCCGGGGGCTCGAGAGTTCTCGGTCACCTGCCGAATCGCGCTCAGGGTTAGAGCTCTCGAGACCCTAAGCCTTACCGTCCCCAGGCATGGTGGGGAGGAAGGGCGTCCCAGGCAAGCGGAGGGCTGCGCGGGGGCGGAGAGGCTGCGGCTTGCGACTCACGAGGCGCCCCGCATCTGCATATATCGTTTTCCCACGCCGCGGCTCTTGCACCGAAAGACCACCAAAAGGCTACGTGCAAGGTGGGCTTGACGTCCCTTTTGAAGCAGAGAGGCGTTTTCTTCTGAAACGCTTGGCAAGGGCATTAATCTACCTGAGAGAACAACACCCTGGTACCCACCCATTCCAACTACTGAAATATACTTTAGAAATAAAGGCCAGAAAACAAAATCTAACTTTATAGTGTTTTGCGGTTTCCAACAGATTTTCAAGTATATATAATGTTTAATCCTCACAGCAATTGTAATAGGTTAAGTTTTACTGTTACTCCCACTATCGTGTTTATTATTCCCGTTTCAGAGATGAGGAAAGTCAGGAAGATGCGAATGAGGCCCAGAAAGTTTTGTGCTGAGATTTGGAGAAGGAAAAGAAGGCGAAATGCTTACCCTTAGAGGAACAGCAGCAAAAGAGAAAGTCTGAAGGAAGGGCAGGAGCCTGAAGTCCTGGTGGCCCTTGTGTTAGGGTAGGTGTGCGACTTAGTACCTGGAGAAGAATCGGGTGGGAATAAAGCTGTCAAACAAATCCCCTCGACTTCTAGGGCATTTAATAGGACAGTCAATAAAGGACCACTAGGCAAGTGTTTGTGTTTACTGCTTCCCTGGGGACTGTGGAGGCAGCCCTGACACAAAATATATATTACTCTCTTGTTTCTTCTCCCCTTTTATACTTTTCTATTTTTGATTTTATGTTTGAAAATTATCATTCTTTCACCTCCACCCTAGGACTGGAGGATCAGTGGATCTTTGGGGATACCGGATAGCTGTGGAGCCCTAAGGGCCCGGTGCTAGATGCTTGGATAGGGTGTGAGAAAAAATACAAAGGTTAGCTTTGGAGGAGTCCTCTCCTCTGTTTTGGCTTTTGGCAGGGTCAGTTTCTGTGACTTCTGCGCCTCCCAGCTTCTTGGGCTAGTAGAGACTTGCCCTTGGGTTGGTGGAATATACACACCTTTCTTTGACACTAGATTAAATAATACAACTGGGAGGATTTTATGAAACCAGAATCCTGCACACAGGTGAAACAAACAAAGGAAGACAGTATGAGGAACCTTTAATTATTAACCTGGTGTGGGTGATTCTGAGGAATTCAAATTCCAGAAGAGGGTTTTATTTTATTCGTGAACTGTTTGGGGGACCAAATTCTGGCAGAAATGGCACTAGCTTGTGGTCAACCATTAGGGATGAATAGGAACTTGGTTATTTAGTCCACAACTTACTTCAGAGTATGAACACTGAACACATAGCTCAGAGATCTCTGGTCTGACTTGGATAATTCCAGTAGAGAACTCATTACTGCACACAGCACCCTTGCTCCCTTATTAGAGTGTTCCAACTATATTAACAAAATTAATCTTTTTTGTTCCCCAGCCCTGAAACTTGGACCTCTTCTAGTATTCTCAGTTCATCATCTGTCCAGTTGAGCACATCAGCTTCACTGCTCTGCCACATCTCATTTCCAACCCATCAACATGTCCTGCTGAACTTGTCCTTTCCTGTGTGAGTTGCTCAGTCGTGTCTGACGCTTTGCAACCCCATGGACTATACAGTCCATGGAATCCTCCAGGCCAGAATACTTGAGTGGGTAGCCTTTCCCTTCTCCGGGGGGTCTTCCCAACCCAGAGATCAAACCAGGTCTCCTGCATTGCAGGTGGATTCTTTACCAACTGAGCTATCAGGGAAGCCATTCCTATGGCCACCATCCTAATCTAACTACAACCAATACCTTGTGCCCAGAGAATTGTAATACTGACTACCTGGTTTCCCAAATATACTGCCCCCTCTCTTCACTCTGCATAGCCAAAGTTACAATGCTTAGTATCACACAACAATGGCTTCCTGTTGTTACAGCAGGCAGATAGCTAGGTATGGGCAGAGAATGGGGGCAGGGACCAGGTGGCAGGAAATCTTGCAACTCTTGTAAATAGCGGGGGTCCATGGGCAGACAAAGAAAAACAGGAACCTCCAGACTGACAGGAAACCACACCTTTGAGGTGATAAGTGTCCTGGAATCAGACAAAGAAAGGTGAGGAAAAGCGGGAATCTCCTGCATCCAACTGTAACCTTGTTCATTGTGTTCTTATAATAAAATTAGCCTTGCAGATAAGTACCAGTCATGCTCTGAAGTGATGAAACTTCTGATCTAAGCTAAAGGACAAAAATCCCTCCTCCCCTCAGGAATATGGAGCTGGGATGAAAAATTGTATTCTAGGGAATACAACCCCTAAAAACTCCTTCCCCAGTGAATCTTCTGCCCCTTCATTTGTATGCCCCTCATAACCAGCTTGCCAAAGAAACACAGGGCTGCAGCTCCTCACCTGTTTGCCCTCTGAGAGCATCATTGTTCAGCAGCTGAGTTGCTTCCAACTCAGACCCAATGGACTGCAGCACGCCAGGCTTCCCTGTCCATCACCAACTCCCAGAGCCTACTCAAACTCATGTCCTTTGCGTCATTGATGCCATTCAACCATCTCATCCTCTGTCATCTCCTCTTCCCGCCTTCAATCTTGCCCAGCATCAGGGTCTTTTCCTATGAGTCAGTTCTTTGCATCAGGTGGCCAAAATATTGGAGTTTCAGCTTCAACATCAGTCCTTCTAATGAATATTCAGGACTGATTTCCTTCAGGATAGACTGGTTTGATCTCCTTGCAGTCAGAGGGACTTTCTTCTCCAACACCACAGTTCAAAAGCATCAATTCTTTGGTGCTCAGCTTTCTTTATGGTCCAACTCTCATGTCCATACATGACTACTGGAAGAACCATAGCTTTGACTAAACAGACCTTTGTTGGTGTTTGTCTTCCACTATCTCCTGGAATTTGCTCACATTCATGTCCACTGAGTCTGTGATGCTATCTAGCTATCTCGTCTTCTGCCACTCCCTCCTCTTAAATAAGCTCTAATTTTCTTAACCTCCTTGCTTTATCTGTGAATTCTTTTGCTGCAAAGAAAGAACCTTAAATTCACAGGGAATACTGTTTTTAGGATAAAATCTCAAACTTTTATCATGGCTTTCACAGCTATATAACGTGAGCCTGTTTAATACATAACTTCAGCTTCAACTCTCATATTCTTTCAAGGAATTGTGCCAGCTGCAGGTTTTTTTTCGAATCTTCAAAATGCCACACACTTTCCTCCAATGTGCACATGATTCCCTCTGTGTATATATACTTTGTTCCTTAGCTAATTCGTCTCAATTGACATCTCTTCTACATATATAAGTATTTAAAGAGAAAAACCACACGCTCAAATGGCTTTAGTTTGATGAAGCCCATGATAGCAAAACTAGATTTAGTACTTGACCTAACTGCAGTTTCAGCCTTTACCAGGAATTGATGTTAATTAACCAGTTTGGAAGTCTCAGACAACCATTTTGCCTTTTTGCATTTCTTTTTCTTAGGGATGGTCTTGATCACTGCCTCCTGTACAATGTCATGAACCTGCATTCATAGTTCTTCAAGCACTCTATCAGATCTAATCCCTTGAATCTATTTGTCACTTGCACTGTATAATCGTAAGGGATTTGATTTAGGTCATACATGAATAGTCTGGTGGTTTTCCCTTCTTTCTTCAATTTAAGTCTGAATTTGGCAATAAGGAGTTCATTATCTGAGCCACAGTCAGCTACCGGTCTTGTTTTTGCTGACTGTATAGAGCTTCTCCATCTTTGGCTGCAAAGAATATAATCAATCTCATTTCGGAATTGACCATCTGGTGATGTCCATGTGTAAAGTCTTCTCTTGTGTTGTTGGAAGAGGATGTTTGCTATGATCAGTGTGTTTTCTTGGCAAAACTCTGTTAGCCTTTGCCCTGCTTCATTCTGTATTCCAAGGCCAAATTTGTCTGTTACTCCAGGTATTTCTTGACTTCCTACTTTTGCATTCCAGTCCCCTATGTGGAACCAGAGATCAAATTGCCAACATCCATGATCATCAAAAATGCAAGAGAGTTCAAGAAAAACATCTACTTCTGTTTTACTGACTATGCCAAAGCCTTTGTGTTGATCACAACAAACTGGAAAATTCTTAAAGAGTTGGGAATACCAGACCACCTGACCTGCCTCCTGAGAAATCTGTGTGCTGGTCAAGAAGCAATAGTTAGAACTGGACATGGAACAACAGACTGGTTCCAAATCCGGAAAGGAGTACGTCAAGGCTGTATACTGTCACCCGCTTATTTAACTTACATGCAGTGTACATCATGAGAAACGCTGGGCTGGAAGAAGCACAAGCTGGAATCAAGATTGCCGAGAGAAATATCAATAACCTCAGATATGCAGATGACACCACACTTACGGCAGAAAGCGAAAAAGAACTAAAGAGCCTTTTGATGAAAGTGAAAGAAGAGAGTGAAAAAGTTGGCTTAAAACTCAACATTCAGAAAACTAAGATCATGGCATCCTGTCCCATCACTTCATGGCAAATAGATGGGGAAATAG